AGTTTCTCTTCAGTATACAGCCGTGTGCTGCATAATGATCATTTGGTCGACAACTCCTAGCAGCAGCTCCAGAAGATGATAAAGGAGCCAGTGTCAGTGCCCCTGAAGCACTATGATGTCCTGGCAGGATGCCTGGGCTGGGCACGCAGCTCCACGGTGGGTAAACTAATTGTCAACACTGCCAGCTGCATCCAAGTATAGCCTGTACAATCTAGTCCAGTACGTACACCTACCTGATAAGCCACTATGTACTGACTGTACTACATTGTCCATCATATTTTAGAAAAAAACCTCCTAATTATGTACCAAAAAAGGTTACTGTAAAACAGTAGGCCCCGTTATGCCAGCAGCTGCCTCAGCCGCCACCTGCGTAGCTCATCTTGTGGTTTCATGAAGAGGCACGTCCAGTGACCTGTACCGTGTCTAGGTTCAGGTCCAAATAGCAATGAAATCCCCCAGAGACAAATTTCCTACAACACATGCCCTTCATTAATCGACAGCATAGATAGGTGTACTTTTTTCAGGGTGGTACTGTATAGTATGTAGTCTACTTCCGTGACTTTAAAATCTCCTCCGGCACTTCACTGGCCTTTGGAATTCTGGGAATTTCTCCTGTGCTTTCTTGGAATCATCTTGGGTACCGCCTCTCTCCAACACTTTTCTACCCTATGGGTTTTTAAGATCTACACTAAAAGCAGCGCCCTGGGCGTTCAGGAAACATCGAGATCTCTCTCAGCAGCACAGCGCAGTTCGAGATGTACCTCTCTACCCTCATGGCTCAGAGAATCCACCGCCCACATGCAAACCCTTCCGCAAAGAGTCCAACTCCAGGTCCAAACGCGCGGCTCTTCCCCTGCCCTGGCAGGGCTGTTTTCCGCTCTTCCTCCTGCACCAGCTCCCTGTCCATCCTCCAATTTAACTTGAGCAGCCCCTTCTCGAAAAATTTCCTTCTTCGCACACGTCGGGGTTGGGTGTAATCCCTATAAACACCTGCAGTCCTGCCCTGAAACACTGGAAAGGTTCGCTAGAGCCTGCCGCTCGCCTTCACAAAGTCCTGCCAACCCAAAAAGCTTATTATAAACCAGGGCGTGGTGGCGCATGCCTGGGATCCCAGCGCCGGGGAGGATGAAAACAGAAAAATAAAAACGAGTCCAAGGAGCGTAGTAAGATCCTGTACCAAATACATTTAATAAAAAATAAAAAATAAAAAGCTTAGTATAGCTCCAGAAAGCGGGGCTATTCCACTCCCTGCAGGTCACAGGTCGAGTCGCAGACCCCGGGCACAACGCATGAGACTGGGAGTGCCTTCTACCAGGCTCCAGATGCTAGAGAACCTGACACAGAATAATTCTAAATCCGACGGGGCCAAGGGACCACTCCCGGTTAACTTGCACACTCTCAGTTCACGTGGGTCGCCCGGAAAATTTCCCAGAACCACACCTGCCTGACTTCTCAGAAAGAAAATTTGGGGTATTTTTGTTTGGCTGCTTTTGTTGTTGCCATTAACAGCTCTTCCTCGTGGATTTAATCCTCATGTGTTAAAAGCATCAACAGCCTGAACCTCTAGGCTGTAAAGGTCGGAACCAAGCCCTGAACCCCGATGGACACTCCCGAGCCGTGGGACCTCAACTGACCCGGCCTCCCCTCGAGCCTCATTCCTCCCGGGAGCAAAGCCGGAGGGAAAAGACAGAGCCCACCTCCTCTGCCACCATCACCTCGCAAGACTCGGGGCGCAGAGGTCGCAAAGGTTCCCTCGGGACTCGAATCTCCCAAAAGTCCCCTTCGCTGGGTAACAAACCGATTACTCAGAAAGGGTTTGGGCAAAGTGAAAAATCCAAGCCTTGAGGCCAGAAACTGCGGCCGATCGGCTGTCCTGGCCTGCGTGGGTACTGGCCTCGCCGGCACTGGGGCCCGCGGTTACCTGCGGCGGTCAGCACAGCGGAGACAGCGGCGGCCACGGCGGTCGCGGAGACAGCAGCACCGTGGGAACTCTGACAGCCGCGCAGCCTCAGACCCGAGGACAACTGACGTCAACCCTGCAGTGATTGACCCCAGGAGCCGCCGCTCCAGTGCTAAGAACTTACTGTGCCGGGCTGATTGGTAAAACTGTGGGGCGGGACGTCTCTGAAAACCAATCGGAAGAGAGAATACGGCCAATGAATCGCTGAGACTGAAAGTACCAGCGTGCATGGGTGGGACTTCGGTGCCTGGCAGCGCCGGGGTCTGAGGCGGAGGTTGCTCAATCAGCTGAGGTCGGGGGACCCCGCGTTCCTAGGAACCCGGAGGCCCATAATTGCAGAAGGGTCCCACCAGGAGTCAGACTAACCCACTGGCTTCCGAACTAGATTTTGCATTGTACTCACCCGGTGAAGCTTCGAGAATAATAGTGCTCCCTTGTCATGCATGGAGATTGTTGTGATTGGGCTGGGTCTGCGTCGGGGTGCCGGGATCAGATGGTTCAGGGGTGCAGGCCCAGTGGATCCTCTTCCCAACCCTATGGGAGATGGGTGTACTTACCGTCATCCCAGCTTCACAGAGACTAAAATGAAAACCCGGGGTTTGATCCCTGGGCCTGCCATGCCGAGACGGGGATTGAGACTGGCCGTGGTGGGGCGCACCTATAATCCCAGCTCTTGGGAGACTGTAAACAGGCACATCACTAAGAGTCCGATCTAATAGCGAGACCTGAACACCCTGTAGACCTTTCCCTAAATACAAAAACAAATAAAATAAAAATAAAATGAAAACCCAACATCAGTTCCTGAGTGACTGAAAGAGGCTGTGTGAGGCTGACCTCACACAGATGAGGACCAAGTCTCCTTGAAGACAGACTTCTTACTGCTGATGTAAGGAGATTACAAAAACTGCCTTTGGGACTCGAACTCCCGGGCTACTAAATGCTGCTAATTCTGCTTTTCATAACTGGGATATGTTTTTTTTTAAAAAAAAAAAAAAGGAATGAAGAGGCAACAGAAAGCTAAGATTAAATGGAAGAGAGGACAAAAAGCATGCGAATCCTTGTGCTGCATTGGGGAGAGGGAACGTTTCCTGCTGCCTCTTTTCCTAAGGGAAGTAAGTTAACTAGTAAGTGTCACCAATGCGGGCTGAGGGACCACTGGAAGAGACTACCCTGATACAGGTCACCCTCCTAAGTCACCTTGCCCTGAAGATGGCAAAGGGTCAGTGGAGGACATACATTCCTGCGGTTCAAAGAGCAGCTTGATCCAGGGCCAGGCTATTGCCCTGTCATGAGGAAACCCAAAGCTTTAGTCGGCTCCCAGCAGAGTCATCACATCATGGGATGCAGCCTCCGTGACATCCCCCAAGGATGTCACAGGTAGAACCACAAACGCCTTCCTTCATAGTAGGGCCTCCTCTTCTATTCTGACCTCCTATTCTGAGCAATTGACATCTACCTCTTGTCACGTCATGGCATCCCTGAGGCTCAGGGAACCAAGCACTTTACTCTTACTACACATTGTTTATGGAATAATTTTCTGCACATCTGTGCTCTTTTGGTAATGCCTGAATATCCAGTTCCTTAACTAGGCTGAGACTTATTCATCAAGATGGGGGCTCCAGGAATGGTGGTGCACACCTGTAATTCCAGCGCCAGGGGAGGCTGAAAACAAGAGGATCACTACAAGTCCACGCTGTGTAGTGAGACCCTGTACCAAATGCACAAAAATGAAAAAAAAAAGAAAGAAAGAAAAGAATTAAGAAGATGGGAGCTCAAATTATTTTTGGCTCATTTAAAAGCCCCACAATTATGACAATAGTTGGCTCTCCCACCTATATTGACAATGACTTTGTCCTTACTATTTTACGTATTTTTCTCATTGCTGAGACAAAATATCCACACCTAGAAGGATCAAAGGTTTATTTAGCTCATAGTTTTGTAGAGGTTTCTGTAATAGCTCAACTCACATTTAAGGCTATAAAAGCAAATCTTGTTTTCTGTTGTGTAAAAAATGTATACTCACCACTGTTCTAAATTGTTTAGTAACTAGTGGCTGTTTCTTGCTGTTTGCTAAGATAAAATTCCTTCCTCACTAATTCCTGTAAACAAAGTTAGCTTACTGAGGTGACTTCAAAAGGAAACTAAATGGGCTTTAACTTCTTGTAACCTCGGGCTATGCAAGGCTGCATGCAAGTATTCAGGTGCAAGATAACCAGAAACTAAAACAAAGCCCCAGGAAATTGTGAGTAGTGGTCACACTGACCCTGAAAGCATTATTTTGTGTCAGACAATGAATTTGTTTACCAAACTGAATGTGGTTCCTTGTTTTAAAAGCCCCCCTGCTTCTTGGGGTAGCCACCTTTCAGTCCTCTCCTGTGTGAGAGCTGACCAGGACCCTGAGCTCAGTAATAAAAGGCTGTTTAATAGGCTGATCTGGTTCCTATTCTGAACGACCCATGACAGTTTCAGTCCATAATCAGATGGCTCCGAGGCAGGGCGGCACTGCAAAGGAGCAACAGTTCCTGGTGGGCAGAAGGTAGCAAAGCAACAAGGGATGACTACTGCTCTTTCCATCCCTTATATCTTACCCAGGCTACTAAGGGCAGGTAGCACACACACCTTAGTGCCCTTGATTCTAGCACTGCACCATGGACTGATCCCAGCATCACACACTCTAGCTCCAACCACCTCTGAAAAACCCCAACCTGTGACCGTCTGAGGCTTTGGGGGGACATCTAGACACAAGCCATAGTACTGACCTTCCTATTAAACCCCAAGCATGGACCTCTGACATGCCTGGAAGAACTGTTACTTCCACCTCAGTACTGATTAAATTAAAAGATTTTCATCACTTCCCACACGGTAAACAGTATTTTCCTCCATCTGAAGCTCCAGTAGGACTACAACTCCTAATAATAAGTTCTTTCACTGTGGATTTGTGGTGCCTTTTTTTTTTTTTTTTTTTATGCCAAGCTGGGGATTGAACTCAGGCCCTTGCACTTGCCCAGCCAGCGCTTATTCTACTGAGCCATCTCCCCGGCCCTGTGGTGCCTTTTCAGTACCTTGTGATACTCAAGTTTTAGCTATTAAGAAGCCCAGTGGTGATTATCATTTAGTATAGAGCTCTGTGCTATCACGGAGACAGTTTTTCCTTTACATCTACGAGTCCCAAACCTCTCTATTTTGCTGTGCCAAATTCCTTCAAACACCCAATGGTTTATAATCCTAAACCTTAAAGTCATTTTCTTTTGTCCCAATTCCTTCCTTCCTTCAATTGGACCAATGAGCTGAGTTGGAACAAACAGCTTTCTTATACTATTCTTCCCCAAGGATTTAGGTACAATGTCCATGTTTTTGGACACGCTTTAGCCAGGGACTTAAGCAACCTAACTAACAAATGGGTCTATCATATGCGATGTGGGTGATCTTCTTTTTTGCCTGATTTTCTAATTGAGGCCCAAGACTGTTTGGTTCAGACTTTGCATTTCCCAGCTGCTGAGGGATACCCACTATTCAGGGTTTGTCTTAACCTAGGGCATCATGCTTTCTCAGTAGAGCATTAAAAGCCCCCCAAGTCCCTCCATCCTCTAGCTCCAGAAAGCAGCTTTGCACTTTCCTGTTCTGTTATTGGCTATAGATTCCTAGGTATGACAGATGGCTAAACCCAATTATGAGTCCTTAAATGACAAACCAGATCTAAAAGACAACTGGTGGATAACTCAGATGTAATCTGGTTTATTATTGGCAACTCCTGTGTAGTAAATGGCAAAAGACCAGCTGGCTATACAATTGCTTCTCTTACGGACATAATGGAGATTTAGCCTTGGCACTTAGGGACATCAGCACGACTGGGTGAATTGATTGCTTTGACTTGTGCTTATCTGCTCAGTAAGGGCAAATTGTACACAGTATACTCTGATTTCAAATATGCCTTTGTAGTGTTACATGTGCATACTGCTATTTGTACAGTAAAGGGCTATCTCAGTGCCCAAAACAATCCTATAGGCTATCTCCTTGCTAGCTGCAATAGCTGTGATTCATTGCAAAGGCTATCAATCAGTAACCCAGGAGGAAGAACTAGGAAAACAATGAATGAGCTGACACAACAGCTAAAGAAGAAGGACTTTATCTTCCATGTCTTTCTTCTACTCTGAAGGAGGTCACTTGGGCCCTAATCTGCAGTTCCACTTAGGAACCACATGGATGGCTCAAATCAGCAAATCCCCATCTCCCTTAGTCAATGAGCTAGTGAGACCAAAAAATAAAGGGACAAAGGAGAAAGGCCTGAGCAAAACTAACAAATTAAGTAAATTAACAGCCAGGTGCAAAAGGCCTTGAGGGAAGGTAGCGCTACAGGAGACAAGGACTGTTAAAATCCACTAGCAACCACACTACCCTGTTTTTGCACATACTCAGCCCTTTTTCACTCCAGAGAGCTGTATGTAAAGGTCAGGATTCAGGTGGATTTGTTGGTGTCCTCTTGCCCCTTATTTAGTGAGGGCTTTTTTTTTTTTTTTTTTTTTTTGTCCTTTCTAATAAACACACAGCTGGTCTTTCCCACCATGTCCTATCACATGATTCTGATCCTTTAAGCCAAGGCCAGCTACACTATATATGCAAACAGGTCTTTGGTTGCAAAGGGCTTTGCAAGACTACTGACCCAGTGTCACGAGCTTGTGTGCTGTGTGGTCCTAATGACCCCCAAGGAGCTAAGCCTCGTTCCTTGGAGGCTCTAGTTCACAGACATGGACAATGCCCAGGCGAAGACTGGAGAATCGACTTTATCCAGTTTCCTCTTGTCAAGGGCTTAAATATCTACTTGTTTTCATTGATATCTTTTCAGGATTGATAAAAGTTTTACCAAGTAGGTCTGACAAAGCATGTCAAGGTTTGGACTTCCTAAGTCCTTTCACAGTAGCAATGACCCATCTTTTATCTTCTAGGTCACAGGTTTGGTGTCTACAACCCTGGAAATTAGCTATTACAGTACCTCCTTCCTTCAGTCCTAGAGGAAGGTAGAACTGACCAATCAAACATTAAAATTTTTACATGACAAAATTATATCCAAAACTTACTACAATGTCACTATTAA